GTCAGGTCACTGGTTTGAATCCACCATAAAGGAGGAGGATGAATTGTAAAACAAGTCGTAGCCTAGCATTAACCCTGTCCCAAATCATTATGCAGACTACTGCAGTACAATCCCTACTGTACTAATACATTAATACCTATATATGTTATTGCTAATTTTTGAATCAGCTGCATAACTCATATACAAACAACAGGCGCTAAATTAAAGTGCAAGGTAGCACAACGTATCATAATAATAATACTAATTATTATTATCATCATCATCGTCGCCATCATAATAATCATAATCATATTTAGGTTACGTCGATGTTGATAAGAAATGCTCAGCTTCCCTGACTCTCATTGTGATACTGTAATTTTCTTCTTCGTTTCCAAGTGCGAGGGGAGAAAAATGTGATTTCATCAAGTGAAAAACGTAATGTTAGTAATGTTCCTGCAGATCCTTGAACGGTAACCCCGGGTTACTTTTAGTGTCTCCTCGAAACATTGGGCAAATAAGTTTTGCACTTGGCCTGAGTTGCAACGGCTCACAATTAAATCAAATGTGTGCACGTAGCATCTGCTCCCAAAGAAACTGTTTGCCCAAAAGGATTGTTTATTGGACAGCGCATGCCGTGTGAGCAGAAAAAAAAAGTGCAACAGTCTTATGTATAGTTTGTATCTTTCAAATGTGTTCAAATGTCATCTCTACCCAAATAAGGAATTACAGATGTGACGTGTTTACTTCCCAGCAAATATGTAACCTTTTAAAATGATGATGATCATTTGCTTAGTTCATATTACAAAAAAACAAGCTAAGCATGTACTTGGTTACCGTAGCAACAGAAATTGTAATTACACAAAGGTGCATTTATTAAGGCAATTACTGACTTTTTTTATATTTAGCCGAAGTGGACGTGTATTTAATTTCTGCAAAATACACTCCGGCTTGTATCAGTCTGGAAGAAAATGTGCAGAATGAAACGATAGTTGTTACGTTTATTGTTATCCTCAACGGTATCTAAACTCACCTCGTGTGACACTGACGTGTTTACTTCAAAGCAAATACGTAAGCTTTAAAACGACCCATTTGCTTAGTTCATATTTTTTTTGCAACCTTGGCAAGAAGTTATGTTAGCCTGTTATTAAGCTGCTCTGTTCCTTAAGCTAGCGTGTAGCAAGCTAGCGCAAAATGGACAGGTTTTCTACAAGAACTAGAATAGAAATAATCAATAACGTGCTTAGAAATGTTCGTCAATCATTTTCTTAGGCTAACCAAGTGTTATAATTGTTGAGACGTGAATAGATGGTTTTCCGATAATCGTTATTACCCATGATGCATCGCGTCGGCGGCCATGTTGTGTGGCAAAAGACGCGAACAGGTAGACGTAAACAATCGATAATGACAACAAAAGACAAGAATATTAAATCGCCCGGAGGGAGAGCAGACAAAATTGTTGCATAGAGATTCACTGGACACAATTACAAAGGCACGATACTTGGACAAGTTGAAAATAACGGATGGAAAAGACTCTTACGAAGTCAACAAAGCTGAGGGGAAGCGGGCGGACGTTGATAGTTGGCCAGACAATGTACAGTATATCATCGGGTATTTATTAACACCCAAATAATACAGCGTGTTAATGTTTTGTGAACATCATTAAAATAACAGTTGACATGAAAAATCATGTTCTACTATTGATTAGATTATTACTTTTTTAGGTTAAGAACCACTGCTCTAAAAGTTTCATTAGCATTAGCTAATGTGAGTCCGCGGCCAGAAGCTAATGCTGTCTGTGGGGTCTTGACATGAAAACGTTTAGGAACAGTTTTTTGGACAGTGGGAGGAAATCTTGGGACAACAAACATGTGGACAATCCAAACTCCAAACAGCAAAACCAAACAGTTACCACCGTAGATCAATTTATTGGTCTTATTGCTCTCAGACTACGGCGCTCACCACTCCATCAGCATGTAGCACCTCGTTAGTTCCAAAAACAAAGTGTTCTGTAATTTCTCATATACCAAAAGATGTGAGGTGTGAAGTCTGTCTGTTGTCCTTTTCCCCTCCAGTGTGTGCAGTTGATCAGTGTCATCACACTCACCTGTGTCTGTTTTCATCCGTCTCACTCGTGTCGCCTGATAACCTGGGTATATTTACAGTCCCTCTGTCCCTCACCCAGGTCTTGTTGGGCCGTTGGTCTGCGTCCATGCTTTGTGGGCTGGGTAGTTGTCCGTCCTGTGAGTTCCTCATTCATAGTTCTGGTTCTTGGCTGATCCTACCTCATGTTTTGATCCTAGCTGGTCCTGTATCAAGTGAGTGTATCGTTGGTCTGTGTCCATGCTTTTTGGTTTGGGTAGTTGTCCGTCCTGTGTGTTCCTCATTCATAGTTCTGGCTCCTGGCTGATCCTACCTCATGTTTTGATCCTAGCTGGTCCTGTATCAAGTGAGTGTATTTTGAATTTTTGAATTAACTCTCTACATCTCTGCTGCTGCACCTGGATCCCGCCTGCTTACCAACATTACAGGACTACGTCTAGACTACCCTGTAGTGCTCTTTGCAGGTGACAGTAACAAGAGTGGGAGGGGGGAAAAAAGAAGAGAAAAAGGAAAGGCAAAGAGAAAGTGAAGAAATGCCATTAATGCCTGAAGACACGTCGTGTCATTAAGTCAAGGTCACTCGCCGACAACTGTCACGCTGAAACGAAGCACTCTCTATGACAACACTTTGACTAATGCACGACGTGCGGCAGCACAATCTGTAAATGGTCTCGGGAAGCGTGAAGGCACCTGACAATACGGGAACAAAAACGTAAGAGGTTTAAGACCTCGCACGGACAGGCCTTTTCATAATAATTTGACTTCATGTAGTTGTTTTTATTCGATTTTTCATTAAACAATGGCCTTAACAAAAGTCTTACATTTATGAGTCTTAATTAAAAAAAGAGTCAGGAAATTAGAAATTGAAAAAGTTGCTAGGGTTTTGTAGAGAAAGAGGAGCTCCTGCCTCAACAGTCTCGGCCGACTGCAGTATAACTGTAGGACGCTCAACGCAGGTGTGACCCACCTCCAAGTATGGGCCTCCTTTAAAGGGAACGTTTAGTTGCGGACGTGTGGTTCTTACAGCCCGGAGCAGCTGCCTTGTATAAACCAGGTACAAACTGAGTATCCTTATATTATTAAAGGAATATTTTACAAACATTCTCGTAACTGTATTTCCCTGCAACTGCTCACAACTCACTAAACTGCGTATTTGGAGTTATTATGTTCATTTATGCGCTTATCAAATTTATTTTATTGTACTAGGTTAAAAGCTTTCAGAAATGAAATACCAATATTCATAAAAAAATACTGTTCGGGTAGAAATACCAAATAGTGAAGCGGTTGATGGAGGTACGCAGTTCAATGAGCGAAAAAAGAGAAATAAATTCAGAAATGATACTAGGGACATTTAGGGTGACCAGATTTTTGAAGTGAATTAATTTTAGTACAGACCTTCTTGGTGAGGTATTTTTATATATATATATAAAAAAAGGTGTTGTAGTGCAGGCGTGGGCAAACTTTTTCACTCGCGGGCAAGAATTGTCCTAAAATTGACCAGGGGGGGTCAGGTCAAGGGCAGAAAGATAGAGCGTTCATGTGAACTAAGATAAATGACATGTAAAAGTCATGCATAAAGGCTGAGATGCTTTTATCATTTTCGACGCCATCTATTGGGGAAACGTGGGTATTGCAGGGAAAAGGCAGAAGTATGATGATAATATAAATAAATTATATAATTTGGAAAAGTTTGGCGGGCCGGATTAAAAAGATGAACGTGCCGCATTCGGCCCCCGGGCCTTATTTTGCCCAAGGACATGAGAAGAGTTTTGTGACTGTAAGCAAGTATTTAATAATAATAATAGTTTTATATTATGATCCTTTCTACATTTTTGAAACTACAAGAAACCTCAGTGGGTTCTGGAGATGGAAACTGGAGTTTTGTCCTGAGGAGGGAAATCGGGAGCGGACTTATCGTTCGGACTTTGACTTGCATCCTCATTTTTTTTTTTTTTTTTGGTGGATATTACAAACACACACACACGGATATATGTATATAGTATATGTTTTTGAGGGGTTTTATTTTTATATTGACTCATACTGAATGTACTACATACATACATGATGTGGTACTTTGATTAACTTGAATTAAATTGCATGCAGCTCTATCAGAACCTTTACAGCTACCAGTACTTCTTTAGCGACCTACTGGGTCGCAATCTACTAATTGGGCGACCAGTGCAGGATTATGAATTACGCTGTAATGAAATGCAACCGAGACAAAAACACATTTAACTGATAGCTTTGACTGGACGGACAGTACATTCCCTAACAGGATCCAGGGTCCAAAATAGCGCATGGCTATTTTTTGTTATTTGTTTTTATTCGTGCATTCTGATTCTTATGAGGTCTGAAAGAGCGGTCTGTGATCCGTTGGGATGGATTCACGTGCTGTGGAGTTCCCTACAAGGCCGCTAGGCGCGTCTCTGCTCCATGGAAGCAGAGGAGGGAGACTGGATTGGAGTAGAAGGCGGAGGTGGGAAGGGGAAAGGAGGGGAGAGAGGACGCTGTTCCGTCAGCCAAGTGCAGCCTGAATCGTGAGAAGCGGACGATAGTGGGGAAGGAAGGGGTAAAAAAAAAAAAAAAAAAAAAATCCCACTGTGGATTTCTTTTTCTCCAGCATCACCGTCATTAACATGTAGACCGGTCTTCGTCTAGCAGAAAAACCCCGTGTTAATGGCTCTTCTCTGCCTCCGAGACTATGAATATTCTCGTAGTTTTAAATATGGATTAAGATTGGACTGAAAACGGGGTTTTCATGCGTTGGTTTTACGTGCGTCCTTATGTTTGGACCGCATTAAACTCCGTTTCTACCGTTTGGAGTAAAAAGTGCGCCCAGGCTTATTTCTAACGTTCGAAAACGTCAGGATTTGTCATTTTCGGGGACTGTGATTTTTCTTTTTTTTCTTTTTTTTTTTAAGGATTGCACCTCATCCTAATGGGACGTAACGCACAGAGGAATTATACATAATGTGGAAAACAGGGGAAAAAGAGGAGCGACGAATGGATCCGGACCCCAAGGTAAATGTGTACAGTATTTGGGTTGGAAAATAACTGTTTAAGTCTTTAACTGAAGGTGTTGCTGTTTTAGTTTGCGATTTTTTTTTTTTTTGGAAGGGGGGGTTAGAAAGCCTAAATGAACTGCTGATGATGTTGAGGAGGAGGAGGAGGAGGAGGGGGGGGGGGATTCAAGTGGATTTGAAGATAATGAATGGGCTTTCCTCTTTCACATGACGTTATTCTCCTCTGTTAGTGACGGTGAGAAGTCTGCGTGCGGGTAAGGTGATAAAAACGGCAGATAAGAGCAGATAGCAACATCATCTCAGCCTCTTCCACTTTCACTCTCCCTCCTCCGGGCTCGGAGAAGCACAGCTGCGCACCCTCCGACCAAACTGCGCCAAAAAAGGACAGTCCGAGAAAATAACTGTATTTGTGAATTTGGTTACCACCTACACATTCCGTGTCTACCTGTGTGTCTGTGTATGCATGCATGCGTGTGTGTGTGTCCGCGTGCGCGCGTTTGAATATGAACCACGCATCATCTGTCATCATCATGTGTCAATAACAATGAACGGCGGCAGAGAAGCAGACTCCATATACAGAAAAAATATTAAATTAGTTTCATCAGGTTGGGTCGTGCCGGTAATTAAATGAAAGCAAACCTGCTCTCAGGGCTTATTGCTGGGGGTCAGGCGAGGGAGGGAGGGAGGAGTTCAGAACTGAGAAGGTGCGTGCGTGCGTGCGTGCATGGGCGCGCGTGAACTCGTGCACGGTATAAAAAAGGTCTCTCTGGAGGAGGAGGAAGAGGAGGAGGAGGAGGAGGAAAAGTAGCGCCCGTCGGCCGCTGCGGGGACACTGTCTCCATTAAAGCAGATGAATGCAGTCTGTGTACGGTCCATGTCGAGTTGTTTAGGACGAAGCCAGATGGGAAGCCCCGTCATTTTTTGGGATATTTTAGCAGGTGCTCCAAACTTTATTGGGCTTCTGGAGGGTAAAGACCAGTGTTGGGGTAGTGTAGCAGGAACAGGTTCAGGTCCCGTTTCTGAGATTCTGGGTAACGCAGAGGAGGTGGCCACAGGAGGTTACAGGAAGTGTGTATGTGATTCTGCATTTGTGTTTATGTGTGCATGTGTGCGTGTGTGAGAAAGAGAGAGAGAGAGAGAGCGAGTCAATGCTGTGGTGGTCTCCTGTCTTGGGGTGAGCAAGAGTCACCCTCTGAAACGTGCTGAATAGAGCTGAAGTGATGGTGCGTGATTATTATTATTATTATTATTATTATTATTATTATTTTATGGCTAGTGTCTAACAGCAAGGCAACACCTAAAGGGGAAAAATAAATTTGTAATTTTAGTTGAGCCAAAAATAGCAACAGGGCTGACATGACATCCACATCGCACTGCCTCTCACTGTGATATCCGCATGTCCCATGATGCTTTATGCTCCTCAAATAATAATAATAATAATAAAAACAACACATAATATGACACGATAAGAACACAATACAAACACACCTGTCGATTCCCACAAGGATGACACCTTAAATGTTCAGTCTGGCTCTTCCACCTGATGAGTCTGTTTTTTTTTTTTCTCCCCTGCAGTTTTAGTTTTATGATGTATGACAGGGATCAGATGTATGAAAAGATTGAAAATGTCAACCAGTGCGATAGGCCTGATAGGTCTGACATCAATTGAAAAGAATCATGTTTTTACTTTTTAGTCGTTCGCATGTGGAATAGATGCAGATCGATTTGTCGGCAACTTCTCAGTTTCAGATGCTTCAGAGTGAAGGGACTCATCCTCTCACCACCACTCGTTTCCCATTTGTCAATTCACATGTTGCTCCTCTGGTGCACTCTCAATCTCTCTGCCTCTTCACTGCTCTACGCAGACTTATCCGGCGTCGTTGCGAAGGGGAGAGAGAGCTATACTTTGTAAATTATAGATCGGCGGTTGACTCACACTCTGGTCATGTTGTTTCTGGGGAAAGCGGGCACCTCAGTCACTGGTGACTTGTTTTTGCTGCAAGGATATCCGAATGAGAAGCTGCTTTTTTTTTTTAAATTGCAGCTGTGTTTTCGGCCATTTTAGTGCCGTGGCACATTCACCGGGGGGATATTGGCTGTAGATGTTCAGCGGCGATGGTTGAAGCTAAAGTGGTATGACGGAGCGATGTGTTCTCGGGACATGATCTGTTGACACGTGGCTGTAGAAGAAAAAGGATGGTAGCACAGACAGGGGGGGGGGATGATGTGTGTCTTCCCTGCAATACTGATTATGATCAGCACTGACAAATAATCAACAAGCTTACGTTATTAACTTTGCATTAGGCCTGACAGCTCTTGTAAGGATCGAGTGACTGATTTTTTTTTTTTTTTTTGTCCCTAGCCTTAATGCTGCAACCATGGTGTGGGTTGTAGGCTCCAGTTGAACTCCAAGCATTCGAGGGGCTTCTCACTGTCTCTGTGTAAATCACGTTGCAATTTTTGTTTTTTCTTTGGAACTGTTTGTTCCAGTGTTTTTTAAACCTTGGGGTGGCAACCCTAAATGGTGCTGTCTGGGATTCAAATGGGGTCAAGTGAAATGTCTGGTAATGGAGAAGAAAAAAAAAATTAAAATATATTTATATTTTTATTTAATATATTTCTTCAACTAATTATTCTTCTTTTTGAAGTTATGATTAGTCAGCTCGGTCCTGCCCAAATCTGCCAATGGTTTATGTGAGTGAAAGTGTCACGTGGAGATAGTGTCCACTGACTCAGTCCATCCACCGCTGGTCATAGAATTGATGATGCTGATAGAGCAATAGAGCTTTACACCTGACCTGTGTTTGATTACCGAGCTGTAGGTTAATGAAGATCTTTGCTATTCCATCTCCCTCCGCATGAACACTTCAATAAACATGGCTCTTAATTGCGTCGTTAACGCTGCTCCTGTGGTGGAGTGGAAAACGCGTGTTTTTATGTTTTTTTATTTTCATTCTTGTTGGCAGTAAAATTAATTACGTTTCACGCTCAGACAGTTTCGGATTATGTAACAGACTGTATCTTTAACATTAGAATAATTTAAGTCATTTATTAATAATTATATGGGTTTTTTTTTAACCATACTCAAAAGCAACTAATGTCCTGCATGTCACAGTTAACACCAAAATGCAGGCCGACGTTTTGACCGCCATGAAGTTTTAATTCATGGTTGTAGGTTGTGTTTCAAAGTAGTTTAGGTCTGGGGTGTCAAACTTATGTTGGTCCAGGCTCCACATACAGCCTTATTGGGTGTCACGTGGGCTGGACCAGTACAATCATAACATAATGACCTATAAATAACTGTTTTAGTACATGGTTGTCCCCTTTGTTTTCATGCACTCAAATATTCATATTTAATGAAACATCATTTCACAAAACATGTCATGAACATGAAGTGTTTGTCCATTCCTTAACTTCAAAGGAAGTTATAATAATAGACATGAAAGTGCAAGCTGCGTACGTGCGCGAATGTGCCTCGGTTTAAGTAAAAAGCAAATCGGGGCCATTATAATATAAAATGTATGCAAATCACACACGGTTCCTCAAATCACACCTCTGTGTTGCGTCTGGAAAAGCAACAACAAACAAAAGGCAGGAAAATCCAATTAATGATTAGGGAAGAGAAAAGTGCAAAACGCTAGTTGTCAGATTGTTTAATATGCATATATGCATGCATGTGCCCTATGTGTAGAATACCCAATTTCTGGGTACTGTATAATACTCAGGGCTTTTGAAAGTGGTATATTTATGCATTTTAATAAGTGGACAAAATACAATCAGGGATGCAGTTCATGGATTGTGTGTTTACCCGTTGCTCTCAACAAGGTTAAATGTTTTTCTATGCGTTTGCGTATGTGTTTTGACATAGTTCCACATCAGTAATTCCATCTTTTGGATTAGTCACTTATTAAAAAAAAAAAGGTGTGAAACGCAGACATCTACCTGTTATTTGTCTTTCTATTCCAGCCAAAAGTAAATGATGCATGAATAATCTTAGTTAATCCACAGCTCCTCATGATTAAAAATGTAAATCATTTGACAGCCATATCCATATATATATATCTATACGTATATAAATCGACATGCAGATTATTTGCATGACGCATCAGCAACACCAACAGGTGAAAAACCATCTTTGGTTCTAATATTTTTCTCTGAGTGTGAGTGTGAGATGTTATGTGCAGTGTCTGCTGGGTATCCCCAGCTTCTAACAGTCCAACTTGGGTTTTACAGTTTAATCCACAGATGTAAACAACATGTACAAAATTGCGTGGTGAGAAGAGGCTGCAGAACAGCCCCACATTTCACACTAACAGAGATGCAGAAACCAAAAAGCAACCTCTAGAATAACTATAATTTGGCTCTGTCTACCAACATTGTGTGACTGCAGACATGCTATCACGCAGGAATAGGGAATTTTTTTTACATGTTTGTTGTACTTGCATCATCGATTTCCCCCATTCTGTAAGTGTTACATTATTAGTGTTATGAAGTATTAGAGTAGCAGACTTTTCTTAATGTTTAATATATACTAAACACGCTATTATATAATGTCACTTCCTGCCGGTTAACTCAAAATGATTGATAGATTGAGACTTTATTCATCCCCGAAGGGAAATAAGGTAACATAACATGCATAACGAAGACACATTGGATGGCACGGGGCTTATGCCGGCTTCTTAAGTTGTGTCTCCCTCTCTGGCATTAGCGCCTGCTGCTTGAGCTCAATTACACGAAACAGCCAAGTGTCCAATGGATTAATGCAGACGCTATGTGCCATATTCAATTTACCACGGCACATATTCATATAACAGCTGCAACCAATTTGTGACTCTGGCCCCTGTCTTATTACTGTCAACTTCTAGCACTTGTGCTGAAATTCAAAGCGATCACATTAAACTAGCACTTTGTAAAACAAACATGGCATGGAGAAATCAAAGTTCTCTATTTTAACATTTCTAACCTGTGAACTTATGAAAATCATTTATTTTTGTATGT